CCGGGGAACAAGGCGCTCGATAAAAATGTACGCGCGAGAAAAGAGGGTCGCGGGGTTGCGGCCATATTATACCGTCGACGGCGCGCAGTTCGCTCGTTCGGGAATTTATCAGCAACGACGTGAAACGTCGCGGCAAGAAAAATGTTTACAGTCACAATATTGCCGTAAACTCTCCAAGTTCTTAGCTACACACGGCGGGCGGGCCGCCGCGCCGCTCGAAAAAGTTCCGGCGTCGGCGTCGGCGGCGACAAGCAAAACAGTTATTAAAGTTACGCCATAATCACTTTACTAAGCTCTTCGCCCGTTAACTTCGCAGATTTTACGGCCGCGCCTCTCTATGTTTGCCGTAAATTTCCAAGTAAAAATTATCGTCTCGCAGTTTGCGCGGGGCAGTTTGAGGGACTTCGCCTCTCTCTCTCTCTCTCTCTCTCTCTCTCTCTCTCTCTCTCTCCCCCTCTCTCTCTCTCTCTCCCCCTCTCTCTCCGTTAAATCCTCGCGGAGCGACTCCCGACGTAACGGATTAATATCAGCGCGACTCGAGATGAGTATTCGGATGATTTCTCGTCGCTTCCTCGGGATGAAATCTTCGAAAGGCGGAACCAAATACCGTGAAAGAATAACAGCACGCGCGAGTTGCGGCGGAAACGGAGTTTCAACGGCTCTTGTAATTCAAACGATCAATCCCGCGCACGTCAGCCGCACGAGCCTCGCATTCTTACCGCGAGCTAGCCCAATCATAATCGTATATAATTACACAGCCGGTGTTCACAGCCGAGCTAATCCGGCTAATCCAGCAGTGCTATATTAATCACTAGACATCACCCCGCAGACTATCGCCATTAAACGTCAACCGTAAATATGGCCTGTAGCGGCGCAACGGAGGCGGAAGGGAGGCCAGCTTTCGCCCGATCTTAATCAAACGAATTGGGAATTACGGTGGGGCAAATTAATAACACGGGGGAACACACAGCGACGTCGCGTGGCGTCGCGTCGCGTCGCGTCGCGTCGCGTCGCGTCGCATCACGTCTCGTCGCGCCCGATTGGCCCGACGAGCTTTGGACAAACAGCTCGCCATACGTCTCGCGAGATCGATCGCGTCCCTCGCACGAATCCGCTCGAGGCTCCAAGCTTATCGGGGGGACGCCGGAATTACGGCGGGGCACGGCGTAGGAAACAGGAAGCGGGATAGATGAGCGCGAGTCGGTCCCTCCCCCCCCCCGTGCTCGATTTGCCGAGTTTTCGCCGAGCTTTCGCCGAGCACGAGGCAGACCTGAAAGGCCTCTCCGAAGAGGCTCTCCGCTTTATCATAATTGCATCTCGCGGGCGACGTCCAGGTTCGCTCTGCCTAACGAGCTCGCGGCGCATCGCCGATGCGGCCCGGGAAATTAGCAGGCAAATTAATTCACGCCAGAACGTCCGCGTCGTCCGGGAATCACACGGCGGTCGGCTCGCGACTTTTTCGCGCTTCCGGCGAGAGCGGAAGCTCTCTTTCTCTCTCTCTCTTTGACGTGTCTCTCTTCGACAGCGGACGGTGACCCCCTTTCGGACATCGCCGACCCCCTCTCGGTACGCCGTGAGCATTGCGGGACACGCAGGAGGAATGATTGAATTCGCGCCTCCTTTCAAGCTCCTCCTCGTTAGTTTTAAGGTGCAAACGATCATTATCAGCTCGTCGTGAAATTTCGCCGCTGACCAGACTACAGAGCAGCCCTCCGCTCTCTCGGTTTGCGACGTCAATGCGACTGCATAACTGTTTATCCTGCATTGTCGGAACAATCGGCTCCTGCAGTTTCCAACGGCCGACTTAACGTACGTCCGACCGGCGCGGTTAATTCAACGCGAAGCGAAGCGGCTCGCAATACCGCGCGTCTCCTCGCCGATATCCCCGAAGTGCCTTACAATCTTTTACGCGCCACTTTGCGCAGCGAGGAGAGAAAAGGGAGAGAAAAAGGGGGAAAATAGAGAGGATAAGAGGGGAGATAAAGACTGTTTTTTTCTCACGAGCCTGTGCCAGCGCTCAAAACTTACGTCGCCTGCGGGTGAAGGGTGGAGGGAGGGATGGGGAGGAACTGCCGTTCCTTACGCGGGGATTAATTAAATTTCGGTGCAGCCTCGGCTGCCAGAGGCTGACCTCCGGACCGCGGACGCGGGAGGGGGGGAGGGGGCCGCGTTGCTTCGCCCTTCTCTCCATGGCCGTGGCTCTTCCGCGCGGTTAATTCCGTTTTGAGGTGACTGCCGGGGCTGAGAGTAGAATGGATAAACGGCGGCGGAGCGTCCGGCCGACGGCTAATATACTGAAAGTTTCCGGCTTTTTCCCGTTTTCACACCCGCGCTTGCTCCCACCCCCTCTCGCTTTCGCTGAATTATTCCGAGATACAGTGAAAGAGCCGCGAGACGAGTACTTAGCTGCGAGTAATTATGCGCGAGTAATTATAGGCCGAGCGGCGTTGTAAGATCCGCAGGACCCGCCGGTGTGTCCTCGACCCCGAGCCTCGATATCCGTCCGCGGCAATCTTCGCTCTCTCTCCTCTCTTCGCCTCTTGTCTTTCGGTCGAACGCGCCAATATCACGCGGCCTGAGATACGCGATCGCGCAGCGCGCGCGTTTACGTCCGCCTATGCGCGATCCGCTACGGGGACGAGCGAGACTCGTGGAGAAAATTAGCACGACAATGGCGGGATTAGTTCCGGCGGATCATGCGACTGCCATTGTTCGGAGTCGCTCGGAGCCACCCTGGCCGCCATCCGGTACATTCCGGATTGCCAGTCCTGATAAACCGCTGGGGCGATCCGTCAACTAATCGGTTCGCTCGATGTGTTTCTTGGAGTGCGAGAGCCGTTCGTTTTACATGCGGACCATTTTCCATATGCGGGTGCTGTGAAACTACTTGTAAGCTCCCACCTCGTGCCTCTCTCATCCACTTGCGTGCGAGCCGCGAATGCTGCTTGTCGCGAAGCCGAGACGTCGTGCATTTTCATCGTCGGGAAGTATGAAATAGGGAATTTTTCCGCGCGCGTGTGTGCCGCGAAATAACGGTCGGTGGTTGCCTCGGCGGAGCAGCCGGATATCCGATGCGGAGAACTTTGGCCGCGAAACTTTTACGTAATTTCCGATGTTAATATATCTCGATAATTGAATCTCCCGAGCGAGTACTCTCTCCTCTTCCTCCTCCTCCTCCTCCTCCTCCTCCTCCTCCTCTCCCTCTATCTTTCGAGATAAACTTCGCTGCGAATCGATTAAAGAGCTCTGTTATCTATTTATACGGCCGGGGCATAACTCCTCCTCGCGATGTTCAGCCTTAAATATCATTAACGTGAATATCGGATAGCTCTCCCTCTCTTTTTCGCTTTTTACCTCGACGATGAGATCCTGCGGATTTTTCGCGCGGAAGAGAATCGCGAGCGCGTGAACCAGCCGGGAAAGGAGGATAAAGATGCGTCGTCTCGTACCCAGGACTTTTCGTACATTAAACCGCTCGACGGCTAGTCGGAGCGACGGCAAGTTCGACGGTGGTATGAACGATGCTTTATATGGAGGTTGATCCTGCGGCAGAAGGGGCGCGTCTCTTCCTCCGGCGTGGCGTGGGCGGCGGCGGCGGCGGCGGTAAAATTTTTTGCTAGCACCATCTTCGCGTCCTCGGGCCTTAAAAGTCGAGTGGCGGAATTTACCGCCGCGCGCGGTCGGTCGCGCGGTGTCGCGAAGTAGAGCGGGCATTTCCATATCCTCGCGTAACGTGAGAAGCCGCGTCGCGGAGCTCGAAAAATATGGAGATTTATATGCGCACAGGCGAGGCTGCGTATCTCCGAGGAATTTGTACAGCGCAACGAGACGATTTCCGCGGAGGTAACTTTTCCTTCTTTCGCGGGACATCAGCCGATTTTGCTCTCCGTTTATTCCGGAGGAGCAAAACGAGTTAGCTTCGCGTCGGTGGCGCTCGCTCTCCTCGCTAATCATATTTTCAGCGATAATCACATTCTAAGCAAAAGATAGATGGAGAAGGAACTTCAATCTCGTTTCGCGGCTTTTATTTCTCGCGGATATTTTCCAATCGATTTTGCAAGTCTCACATCCTCCTCCTCCTCCTCCTCCTCCAACCTTTCGTCCTGCAGATTGTTCGTCAATTACAACGAAATTGTCTCCGCGTACGTGCGCTGGTTGGAGCTTTACGACGGGGAAGAGGGGAAGAAAGGGGCAAAGACGGGGAGAGAAGGAGAGAGAGAGAGAGAGAGAGAGAGAGTTTTGTCTGTCGTCCGTGATTTCACGGCGAATCGCAGTCGTGCGAACCGACGGTACAACTTCCGGAGAAGCGACGCTTCTTCCTCCACACCACCCTCCATATTTCAGTGGCACCCTCACAACCGTCGCCGCCTACTTCCGGTAACTTCCAGACACGCTTGGGCCGTACCTTAAGCGGAACTTAATATAGCCGATTTATTGTCATCCCGAAAGGTCATTTACGGCGAGTTTGCAGTGCGTGCTTGGCGTACGATTCTGCACTCTCTCTCTCTCTCTCTCTCTCTCTCTCCTTATTCTGTCCTGCGACCGGTGGGAGTCACGTCCATGTCGAGTCGCAAAGCTAGAGTGTTCTCTTCTATTGTTTGAATTGTTCTTCAAATCGGAATTTCCCGATCGCTTTTCCACCGGACTGTCATTCGTCGGCGCGCGCGTGCCGCAAAATTATTTTCAAGGAAAGTTTCCGAGGAATTTCGCACATACACGCGCAACGCGCATGCAACGAATGTCGGAATTAACGCTCGTATGAGCGGAGTAAAATGGAACGTTGAAAGAGCTGGAGGAGCTAGATAGAAATTATCATCAGCTTCAATAATAATCCCGACAAGTAGATTGAAACATTTCGCCGACGATGCGCTCGGCATCGCGAACGATCGCCAGCTCTCGTTCCGAGAAATTGCCACGCCGCGAATTATTCCGGGATTCGTTAAGCGCACCTGATTAAACAGTCCGCTCAAACAGAGCTTATTTCGTAAATGTAACACGCATTAATAATTATCGCAACAGCGTATATTTTCATGTTACAGTGTGTGCACAATTTCTCTCTTGTGCAAACAAAATTTTTTATTTTTATCTTCGTTATTTCATATGCGATACAATATTATATCGAGTGAACATACGGTAAAATCGATCATAACGCAATTATGACGATTAATTAGCTGCAAGACGAGTGATTCATGACTCTTTGCATTGCTCAGCCGGTACCTGTAAGCAGGTAGGTACAGGTGGAACCTCGCACACGCACTTCATACACCAGCCATCTTCTATTTTATTCAGCTTGTCATGATGATGTAGCGTCAAGTTGCCAAAGTAGCATTCCTCTGAAAAAGCGAAAAACAGCTCGATAAATCATCCAGATAAAAATTGCTCTACCGCGCAGTTACTTCGATCGACGTTGGCCGACGGAAATCGGCCGCGTCGACTACTCGCGACGACTTGAACGTTCGCGAGGAAGACAGAGAACGTAAAGTACTTGATAAAATTAACAAGTAAAATTAGTCGCACATACCTTCGGGTGTCTCGTGGGACTCGTGAGTATGAATGACTTGGTCGTCGGCATTCTCTGAAAAATTCCATGAGATCGTCAAAGATTTCGAAAAAGCTCATTCGCAGTCTTCGCGCGCGCTTGCGGAACGATCTCCGCGTTACTTACGGCATGTCCAAAATCCATTGCAGGTATTTGGAATGTCTTGTCCTCTATAATAAATCGGTGCGCACTGTTCATGAACGTAGCTCGCATCCTGGAAGAAAGGATCGCACGTTTGGCGATTTACTTTCATGCAGAAAGGCGGGACGTTTTCACCTGGAAATGCGGGGAATATTTGTCTCAGCGATACACACACACACACACACACATATATAACATTAAAACGCGCCATCATTTGACGCGCAAAGAAAGTATCTCTCATGTTAGCGGCGATTCAAACGCGTTCATCGTTATTTGCACGTCGCGCACAGCTGACCGCCGGTCAACTTTCCTCACCTTTATATCCTTCTTGGCAAACACATGTCGATCCATAGGGGCCACCATCCGGTACCCAGAATCTCTGGCCATCGAAGTAAGTTGTACCGTTCACCCTGCACTTCAGCCTGTCTCGCGGTCTCTGTAATCCGGCTGAGGAACGTACGCAATTTTGCATATTTATAAAAGTTTGCATAATGGAGAGAGACTCGCGATATTATATTTTGAATGTTTAATATAATTCTCGTCGTATCATTTTTCCATCGTTAATAACTTGCAGAGTTGTTAATAAAAGAATTTTATTAGCAGTTGGAAAAACTAAGATAATAATGTCGCCTTAACTTCGCGAACTGAGATGTAACATCGTTATCCTTTCATTTCTACACTGAGAGAAAAGTATATGATATTTGGAATTATAATGATATAGTAACTAAATTATAGTCCGAAATATCATATTTATAGTAAGTATTACCATAATGTCGGTAATAATTACGATATAGGCATAGTATAACCAACCATATAATATTTTTACTAAATATTATAATAAGTTAAATTAACTAAAATTATTGTATGGATGCAAATATAAAATGGTAGGTAAAAGTAACTCTTTCATATAGTTTCAATATTACCGGAATATTTGCTAAATGATGACAGATGTAACTATATGAATATTAAATCTCACTATATTTGTGAATGAGAAATTACCATATATGTGGTAAAAGTAACTAAAAAATTATTTAAGACAATCATTGACTATATATTTGTGTTTATTCTACTATATTTTGCAGGTTTCCACGAACTATAAAAATACAGTTGACGCCAAAATGAACTATAAAATATAGTGAGGTTATAGTTGATTCAACTATATTTTTCTATCAGTGTATTTATTATTTTGGTCCGGAGAGCTGAGATATGCGTGTTAAAATGAGAAATGGAATCGCAATCGTCGGATCCGTAATAATCCGTAATCGTATGGTGGGTAATAATGCGCTATGTATAATCGGAATTAACGGAATTCCACGTATTAACAAAAGACACGATATACGTATATATAATACTACACGGAAACGTATACGATACAAATGTTACAGAATAGCGGACGTTGAGTAAACAAAGAATCGCGTAGAACAGCGCGAGCATCGAGAAAACCCGCTTCACAGGAAAAGGGCGACGCGTCTTTCAAAACATCAACAAACTCGCGCTATCATCGGACGTCGCGTGAGGCGTAGCGCTTGTCATAACGCTACGCGACGCCGCACCGAGCAGCACGGTAAACAGTTCGCGCGCCATATTGGCCTTTCCCAGGCCGATCCGTAAGGGCTGCCCAGTTAATTGCGTCGTTTCGCGGTCGCGATCATCAGTCTGGGTCAATCGCGTGAGCATCGGCGTCATCCTGATATCGACAGGTAAGCAGCGCGGAATTCACGATTTTTGTTGCACTTTGCGCGGAAAATACATCGCGAAGATACTCGGCGCCCCCGTGTTCCTTGTTTTTCGTATGTATCGGCGAGAGGTATAACCTCTCAAGCATTGTAATAGCGATACTCGAGCAAGGAATTTTTCATCACCGGTCGTGACTTTTAGCTTTTGTAAACGCACACGTGTTCGCGATTGCATTACGCGTACACGAATACGGATATTCTTGAACGAGTTGAAATCGTCGAACTAACGCGCGGCAGTTTTTCAACGCGACAACTCCACGCGACCTAGCTTTATTTATTCGTAGCTTATTTCGTCGATATCGCGATCGTTATGCAAATATTGTTCCTCCCAATTTCAATCGAATTGAAACGAATGTTCCAATCGCGTTCGGAATTTTCGCATTTTTCAGCACTGACTAAGCTTTGCTTTTGAACTCTCATTAATACCAGATCGCTCGATGGATTAAAAATCATCGCGTCGCAAGTGCAATGTGACAAAAAGCGGAGCGCAATCAATGACGATTGGACGACGCCGAGAGTGCGGAGGGTGGCCGGGTAGATACGAGGTTCAACAGAGGCCGACCACGGTACGTTTCAACGTGAATCGTGAGTGTTCTTTTTTACTCCGCAAATTTGATTCGTTACACGAATCATCTACATGCGATTTTAATACAAGTGTATACACAAAAATATACACGAATATCGTATTCATTTTAACGAAGAATATTTAACCACTTGCCTCACAATTTAATTTACGACCGTGTGTGTCGCGAGCCAGAATAAACAAAAATTTAACAATAAAGCATTCGGTCTCACTTTGTTGGAAGATTTCATAAGATTTAACAAAATTTTGAAAAATTATTTACTATATTTGAATTAATTTCATTTTTGGCATCAAGTATTGATCAATGACATACAATGCAATCGGTTTTAGTAGTCGTTACATAATACACAAGAGCACGAATAGTATAATTTTTTTACCATAATCTGGACAATAATGTCACCTCGATATTATAAGGCAAGCAGTTAAAATTATGAACACAGAGCCGAAATTTAGAATCTACTTGTAAGTCTTGCAAATGCTAATTTATAGCTTTCAAATAATGCTCCTTATATAAATCCTTCCTTGTCTCCTTTAAATCTTCAAATCATATGGAAACATATGATAAAAAAATGAAAAAATTGATGGAAAAAAGAAGGCATCAAGAAATAAGAATGAATGAAATATGATGAAAAAGGGGGTGTTGTGTTTTATTGCATTTATTATTATGTATTGTCATATTTACCACTGTATATATATATATGGACTTTAATACGTTGACAGTTATTGAAATTATTACCAATGACTGGCGCTAAAATACTGCCGTGTTTTATTAATTGTCACATAAAATATGACAAATTAAATATAAAATAAGTTGAATAATGAAACAATTACTATAATAAATAATATAATAAATTAAATATATAATCTCTCTCTCTCTCTCTCTCTCTCTCAAAGAAGAGTCAATGAAATGAGCTCATTAGGATACACATATATCAAATTGTATTTGTTCATTTTATTCCTCTGATTATTCGAACGTTATCCTTAAAAATACAAGTTCAACAAATATCAGCGCAGCAGTCAACGTGTTAGGGTAGAATCCAAATTTCGGCTCGACGCAATTTCGGATGATTTCTGAATTCGGATAGTATCCGAATTGACATTGAAAAGTAAGTACATATATATATAGTAAGTATATATATATATATATATATATATATATATATATATATATATACATTTCACGATGATGATATACATTACATAACTGTTGCTATTGAATCGTATATTGCATTGTTATTATTATTCAAGTGTTGAAGCGTTATTCAAATGTGTCATTTAATGTAATATTATATGGTTTTGCGTATTTGTTATTATGATTGGTCAAGTCCGCGTATGCGGATTATCCGGACAATCCGGGATTTGATGTTAAAAGTGACATTGAATTATGAAACTGAATTTCTATAATTGCCTGTTTCTATCTATACCGTCTATACTCGCGTATATCCATTTACCGCGAGACGCATGGGGAAAGAAATTGCTTGAATTAACAATGAATGACCCAAGTGAGTCTTCCTCAAAGGAACTTCTGCTTATTAGAACCAGAATTTGATTCGTAATAATCAGAAATTCAATTTCTCTCGATCAAAACTCGCTCAATTCGTCATATTGTCACGTTAATTTCACCAATCTTTTTTTCCATGCATTATCGTATTTTTCTCTAAGCGCAACTCTGCGCCGAAATTTAGTGCAAACAATCTCCGAGAGATGAAGTATGCAGAAAGTTGGGGTGGGAAATGAAAGTGAAAAGAATCCGCGAGTCTCTCTCTGTTCTCTATATGCACGTTTGCATTTTCGCATCCTCGCTGCGAACGATTTCCGTGCGACTGTCAATGACCGCGATAGGTAAACCTGTGTAAACCTGTAAACTTTACAGATAGATAAAAAATACTTCGTTGACGATAACATGCGTTTACTTACGACAAGCTAGTTCGCTCTTGGTTGGACAACACATTGTCACGTTCTCCCGCGTATAGCATCCAGAACGTATAGGCCCGAGTTCTACACAGAGAGTGAGAGCGCACCAGAAACCGGCACTGTTCGGGAAAGCAACGCAATTTGCATGAAATTAGTAATTTGCGCGATAAAGCGACGATTAAAGCGAAATATTTTCCGTTCGGCGACGCACTCGCACGCGTTAAGCGAGAAAAAGGATTTCGCCCGCGTCGCCATCTGACTGATGGCGTATTCGCTTGGATGCACTAGTGCGCACTGAGTGCGACTAAGGCTTGTTCATAATCCATTTTTCATTTAAGAACGGCTTAAATAAATCTTCAGATACTTCTTAACCAGTGAGATGCTCTCTATAACATCCGAATCATTTTGATGACTAAGAAGTTTATGAAAATGTATTTGAAACAGCTTTCAATTTAAGAACGGACTATGAAGAGGCCTTAATGCGCACTCAGTGCGCACTGTGCATCCAAGCGAATACACCATAAGTGAATTTGTACGGAATGAAATCCGGCCGAAAACTGATTCTCCGCTATGAACGCGGCGATGATGAATCCATATGCGCGCACATAGCCGTATCGGGAGCTCGTAACGCACCGGGATTTCAACCGCATCACCGGTCTTTAAACATAGATCTTTTAGGTCTCTCTGTTTTTTAATTCTCTCTCTCTTTCTCTCTCTCTCTCTCTCTCTCTCTCTCTCTCTCTCTCTATCCGCGCACGCATGAGAAAGAGGAGTTTGCAGGAACGTTAACCGACTTTGCCGAGCAAACGTATTTCCCGGAAATAATTTCCCATGATTCATATCCAATGATCGTCCTTGAAATCGCGCTGCGAAGCGTCATTATCTCGATCGCTCTTACGCAACTTACGACGCTATTTTTCCTTCTCCCGACAAGTTTTTTTTTTACGGCAATAGTAATAATATGCTCTCGTGTCGCACTTCCTTCATTTCTTTCGAGTCCCTACCGTTACTCGATACTCGAAGCCAGGCTCGCAAACAGGAAAAATCTCAGAATCGCATACTTACTATCCAGATTTTCGTTCCCCGCAACGGCAACCTTGGTCGCAACGGTTCCCGTCTTCATCCTTTAACAGCTCATCGATCTCATACACGTTGTTGTTAACATAACACTTGTCCTTGGACCTTGCCTTGAGATGGTCGCAGTTGTACTTTAATGCGCAACAGTCACCCTCCTTTTTGTATATTGGTTTACAGCCCAACGAATTATAATACATCAACGGACCCACGCACTTTACATTGTCGCAGTTTTCTTTGCAAAAAGATAAAATCCGGTGATACCACAAGCCGTAACCAAAATGGTCGATATTTGACACCGTGACACGGTGACTCTCTCTCTTTCTCTCTTGCGCGCGATAAAATCAATTTCGGCCAGTCTCGCAAATGATTAGAATTGAGCGATAGGAAAGGATGTTAATTCGGGACAAAGTGATCTTTTCGAAGCATCGATTTATCGTGACATTCGGTGAGTTTCGAGCGATAAATAGTCGGGTTTGTTTTAATCCCGTGGCGATTCGTGTTCTTACCGTCAGTTTTAATGAACACGAAATCGCGGAAGAAGAGGAAAAAATATCGGAGCCCGCGTGCGAATTCGCGATGTCAGTCGCCAGTCAGTATGTCAGTCAAAATATATCTATCAGGAGTCAAATGATCGCTAGCCGAACGTTCGAATAGCACGTCCGCACGATCCGCGATGTATAACACGATAACGCGATTTCCGTGAAAGTAGTTCTCCGCATAGAGACTCACCTTGGTCAGCTGCGACGATCGTGGCGACGACAGCCAGATAAGTGCATTTCTGAATGATGAAATAAGTGCTGCGGCGTAACATGATCGGACGTAAAAAGCAAATTAACACGACACGCAGCCGTCGTACGTTATTTATACTTATCGATCGCGTAAGGATATAACACCAGACGACGATAAATTGTGAACTAAACGAGAAATTAACTGATCGTCGCAGGGGGAACGCGCGAGTGTGGGAGAGATCGAACAATGAGTACGATAAAGAGCGAAGGATTGTCTCCCAGCAATCGGACGATAATAAGCATGCGCGCAATGATATGACAAATAAGAAGTTGCGAGTGGGACGGGTGGGAGACACACAGGTAGAGAGTTGGAGGAAAAACGAAAAGGAGAGGGCTCGCCTGCGTTCCAGGCGTTATGCGCTGAAAGAGCCATGTCCTCGTTTTATCAGTCGCAGCACACACACACACACGTAATCGCTTCGCGGGAAAAATCTCGACGTAAAAAGGTCACCGGAAATGTAAGCGGGGCGAAGATAGCGTAGAAATTTTTACCATCGCCGACACGTCGTTAGACACGCGCCGGATTATCATTAATTTATTATAATTCTCGCAAACATGTAAAGTGTTGTCGCCTGTCGTGTGCACATTTTCCGAGAATCAACGTGTTAGACACGCTACGGCTCCCGCTTGCCCGAATTTCCTCTCTCACTCAAGTTCATCTCGTAGAAAAGTCTTGCTCTCGCGAAGCGAGACCATTGTCTACGTTCGATCGTTGCGTAAATAGTTTTCACCTGAGATTACGCAAGTGACAGAGTTGATGAGAGATTGTCGGTAATCGCCCCCCCCCCCCTGATGGTGTGTGCGACGGTCGTAAAACCGCCGAGTTAACTGTCAGCAACATTTCATCGTCGAGATGCGATAGAAGGAAGGAGCAGGTTCTATTCACGCGTCAATCATTAACGCACTTGACGCCGACATCTTTGGCCTCGGCTCGCCGTCGCTTTCCATTCGCCGTGCATACTTCGCGAGAGTTGACAAGCCCGGTATCAGTAAATTGAGAGGTTCGCGTGTTACTCGTCGTCGTCGTTTCCCGTTCGCGCGATTCACACTCTGAAACGCTCTAAAAGCCGCGCTCGTTCCTCCGACGGCGCGACGTTAACGTTAACGCGCGCGCGCGCGCGCGCGCGGTCCTGTGTTAACTCGTGTTTCCCTCGTGAGCTGTGCAGAAAACGAGGGCTGCCGGGGGCGGGACTTTTCGACCGCATTGCGATAAATCGCGCGAGCCAACGGCAAGCCGGGCGCGAGGGCTTGCGAAATGTCAACAGTAAAACCACTTAGAAGTTTAAATGAGAAATGGATAAACGTTTGGCGCGGCGGAATGTGTAAACGACTCTGTTGCCGGTTTACGCGCGCCCAGCCAGCCAACCAGCCAGCCAGCCAGCCGGCGCAGACAGTGTCCAGAACGCGGGAATTGGTTCGCCGAGTGCAAACTGATTATTACGGAGCGGCGCCGGTGCGGGAGTACGTCCGTGTTTGCGGTAATCGCAGAATTACGAGCGCGAAGATCATCCGCGAGAATAAGCCCGGCGAAAACGCGTTTACGGGCTCGCGTTAATGCTGAAGTACGACGTAGCGTCACGCTACAATAACGCCCCCGATATACGGTATTCGGTGGCGCGCTGCTCGCGGCGGAGCGTTGGCGAGAGCGCGTAGGTACGTGGGTGTTTTCCGAACACGAGACAAAACGGCGCTGGGAAGTAGTCGCAACTCCAACAGGACTCCCCAAGTCCGACAGGATATTTTGGTGTCGCTACGTCTGAGGGGAATGGGAAATCACGATTTACGTCAGGATATCCTGACGTCATCGTGTTAGATTGGTATTAAAAATTTTCCATGTTTCTATTCTCGTGGGGATCGTTGAACGTGTCATTAGGGATTGTTAAAAGGAAAATAGGAAGCCCTCTTATTGAATATTACAACAAGCGTCTCTCGAGTGACGAAGGAGAGTACCGAGTTAGCGAGTTCACTTAACTCGTGAGAATTAATTAATCCTTTGGGATCGGATAATTTCGTTTCCTATTTTGGACCGCTCTCTCTCTGTCTCTCTCTCTCTCTCTCTCTCTGTCTCTCTCTCTCTCTCTCTCTCTCTCTCTCTCTCTCTCTCTCTCTCTCTCTCTCTCTCTCTCTCTCTCTCTCTCTCTCTCTCTCTCTCTCTCTCTCTCTCTCTCTCTCTCCTCTCTCTCTCTCTCTCTCTCTCTCTCTCTCTCTCTCTCTCTCTCTCTCTCCTCCCCCTCTTGTATTTCATTTGTCCCTTCAGTTATTTTCGTTTTTCGCTCGATTGTTTTAAATATCCGGCGTTCGATTTATATAAGCGCGCCCACTTGTCGGAGTAGTCCGGTTGATTACCGCAGAGCGGTTGCGCGCTTTGAAAGCGCATAAATAAAAATCGGAGTTCAGTCGTGATCTTTTTGTTGTCGAGGCTAAAACCGTTGTGTCTCTCATCTGATGCGTGCATGTACCAGATGAGAGTGTGTGAGTGCAGCGTTTAAACGATTTTTGTTATAATAAAAATAAAAGCCGCCGGATAAATAAGCGCTGATAAATGTGTATAATGACACAACTACATTGATATATTTACACAGATATATGATAGGAAAAGAAGATATTTATATACAGACATATATAATCACATCGATATATTTTCTCTGCCCTACCAATATTGCTTGATAATGTTTCGATCGATAAATGTCGCATCAGCGGAGCGACAAACGCGGGTAGGACGAGGCGAAGAGAATCGGGGGCAAGAAACATATTTTACGGAGAGGGAAATTTTGTCTCTCGTCAATAGATGAGATTTAATCAATCGGACGTGATTGGATTAGTCAACATAAAAATTTACGGTTTTATTAATAGTACAGCAAATCAGACTGTACACATATTTTGGAAAATCAAGAAAACCCACATTCTCTCTCTCTCTCTCTCTCTCTCTCTCTCTCTCTCTCTCTCTCTCTCTCTCTCTCTCTCTCTTTATTCACACATTTATCGATATTGTCGAATTCGTGTGAGTTGGAAGGTCCAATTAACGTACGAACAAAGTGCAGATCGGTAGACGAAGGTATCTTTATTGCAAACAGCCGCGAAACAAGGGGCGATTATTACAAGGGTGCTGCGTTTTCGAACACAATGTGTTTCGTGACGTCGCACTCGTAGTTCGGCAAACGCTGGCAGGTCGGGATTGGCGGCACCTCGCAGACGCACTTGACGCACACGGAACTGTAGTCGGTACCTTGATTCAGCTCGTCGCCGAGATGCATCTTTAGGTTGCCGAACAGGCACACGTTGTCGTCTGAAAGAAACAAGTCCCGGCTGATGACGCAAGCATCTCGATCGCGATCGAAGGGCCGAGATCGAAGGGAGATCCCGGGCGTCTCTCGAGAGACAAGCTAGCGGTGTCTTGGGGTGGCAAGAGAAAAGCGATTCCATCGCGCTTCCGTGGGCGCGCGCGCGCGCGCGCGGCTGTTAACAGCGCGATTTCCAATTAGGACGCTCCACCCGGGCGCTGTTTTCCATAATCGGTAAATTGTGAACGGCGTCGATGGAATTAGTTATCGCGTTTGATAGGATCATAATATAATATTACAATGCGCCGCGCACGCGGAAATCGCTTTCGCTCGTTCGGCGTTTAACATCGCGCGGGCGCGCAATAGTTGTCGTAATTATCCCGCAATCGCCGCGCGATTTGTAGAGCGCCGTTGCAATTAATGCGTGCGCGCGTGTCAACGTCTCGTTTGTATCCGCGCGATCGGCGACGCGATCGATAATCGCTCGCGTGAATCTCTTCGCCGACATCGCTGACGCGAGCTTCGCAAAAATCGCAGGTGTAGCCAATAAAAACGTACCATCCGGCGTCTCGGCGGACTTCAGGTCGTCGTGGTTGTTGTGAATGACGGTGTCGTTAGCGTTCTCTGCAAGAATTCGAGGGGACTCGTTATCGATGTTATCGTGTGCATCGGTAAAGGCAAACGCGGTGCTTTGGGATCTCGCGGAACTTACGGCATCTCGTGCTCAGGTTACAATCGGTCTGGGGCGATTGACTGTTGTAATAAACCGGCGCACAGTGCTGGTGAATACTTTGAGTGTCATGGAAGCCGACGTTGCAGGACGACCGTTTCGGCTTCGCGCAGAACGGCTCGATGTTTTTACCTGCGAATAATTTTATTGTCGGTCAGAGTCGGCGCGCCGCGGTGACAACGAAAAGAAATTCGCCCTTGTGAAAGTTTTTTTCTCTTTTTCTTTTTTCGCGCGAGCGATATCCGCGCGTTGTCATTGTTACCTTCGTATCCCGGTTGGCAGATGCAGGTCATTTCCGGATCCTCCTCCACCGTGAAATATTCGCCGTCCTTGTAGGTTTTCCCGTTTACGACGCAGGTAGCCACGTCCTCCGGTTTCTCGGCTGAAAGACGCAAATGCTGATATTCGTCGTGTCGTTATATCACCTCGAGCATACTTGATTGTCAGCCGACCCTTAATAACGCGAGGATATCCGTTCGTGCAATTCACAGTGGGATGTTTGTATCACAAAGTTGGCCAAAATTATTTTTTGACGAATTTCGGTTTAAAACGTGCTACTAATTAAATATATGATCATTATAAAGATTTCGTACAAGTTTTTCATGAAATAAAGTGCAAATATATATATATATATATATATACATAAATATTTTAATAATTAAGAAAGCATAATATTGCACATCAATAAGTATTCAATTACCCCTAATTACTAAGACAAACTCTAAATTTCTTCATCTAACGAGTGTATCTCATCCTCAGAATCAACATCATTTTCATCTATTGAAATATTTCCTCTTCTTCGTGTGGGGTCAGTGAGAAGAAACATATTCAATGTTTCCTTTAAAAATGGTTTAGATTTCTTTTTTGGTACGGGTCTCATATTTATTAGTAACGCATCAGAACTTAGTAGAAGTCTGTTGATTATGTCCATATTACAAAAGGAAACAAAAAAAAAACAAAAAGAATCAAAAGGAAACTTTATGTCCAAATCACCTTTAGACAAAATCTAATTTATGTTTAAGGAAACAAAGGTAATTACTAAAACTACATCCGCGGTTTTTCGCGGCTAATTCTTCCTGATATTTTATCCGGAAAGATTACTCTTTCATTTCATCCAAGAAACGTAACAGGGATATACCCTGAAGTATAATTAAATTCTTCGAGTTTGACATCGAGAACGCAAAAGGATACATTATTGAATATTATTTTCAAAATCGTATAACTACGTGAATAACAATTCAATTGCAATAAATATATAGTCTAAAACGTTTCTTCATACCTTCCTTGAAATAATTTGTAACGAAAAACTTCGCGCTGCCGCTTTTAAGAACTTTTAAAATTCTCGAAGTTCGTATGTTATAAAGCACTGAGAATTGATGCGTGCAATATGAATAATGTCGAAATTTCTATTCCAACCAGACCACTTCATGTTATCGTGGATAAACAAAAGCATAGCGGCCCATTATTCCACAGACTAAGACAGTCATTCATGTAGAGCAGGAATAATTTTAAGACCATTGACTTTTGGCCAGCTTTTCAGGCCGAACGTCCCACTGTGCGACGTCTCGACGTGGATCTTCCACGAGAATAATCGGCCGCTCCTGCGCAAGCAGCGCGCGGATATCCTCGCGTTCGTAGGATTTCGCTCGATTCAGAGAGAATGAGATAGGTATACTTACGACAGATAGTTTCTGTGCTGCAACAATCCAACGGCGATTTTCGCTGATAGCAGCCGGGCTGGGGGGGTGGGGGGACGAAACAATCGACGACGGCGCACGTAAACGCGGTACTGCTCAAAGAAATTGCACGGTTCGATGAAGTAGCGGTCAAACGACATTTCACCGTTATACTACGAGCGGAGCAACCCCGCGAAAGAGCGAATTGCATCGGCTACGTTTCGGGCACGCTCCGTTACCCTCGTCGGCCCTTTCTTTCGCCCATGACAGTATAATCCCGAACTGTCGTCGCGTACGGGAGAATGCGACGTAATTTGAATAATGTGACGTTGCACATGAATTTTTCATAATATCGAAGGAAAATGCACCGGCAACGACTGATGGCCGTATTAAATATTCATGATCGCCGCGCTATTTGCCCGAGGATGGCAGATCCTTTGGCGGTAAAATCATGCGAAACAGCCGAGCGGAATCGACGATGCGCGTTCTTCTTGGCGCTAGTATGAGAGTTAGAGAGAGAGAGAGAGAGAGAGAGAGAGAGAGAGAGAGAGAGAGAGAAGAAGCGACGTTTGTCAACGTGACGTTTTATTCCCGTGGCAGACGTGCTCCGCGGTCTGTTCGCGTCTCGTTAATCTCGCGGAGGTGTCGATTCGAAAATTTGAGTCATATGTGTGCGCGGATGTGTACGTACTGTCCCTCGTAGCCCATTCTACAGACACATGCACGGTCACAGGGATTCGCGTCCTCATCCTTGAGCTCCTCGCCGATCGCGTACTCGTTGCCATTGATGTAACACTTGTCCGCGGCTCTCTCGTTCAGGTGGTTGCAGTCGTATTTCGACGCGCAACAGTCGCCCTCCTTGTCGTACACCGGCTTACAGCCGAGATCATCGTAATACTTCAACGGGCCCAGACATTTCGTCTTGTCGCACGTCTCTTCTCGGGGGAAACAGAGGATCGAATGAGCTCGATAAAAATATCGTATATATCCTCCCGTCGGCAAACGAGCCGATTAGCGGTGGCGGTGCATCGCTCGCCGCATGCTCGGCATTGTCTCGATCGCGCCGCCGCGTGTCAAGGATCGTAAACTTGATCTACGTAATCGCAAATTAGTATTAAACGCTTACTCTAAGAGAAAGATAGAGACGCTCTCTCTGAGAGAATTTACACAAATGACGAGCAGCGAAGCGATAAATATCCAGCCAGCTGGTTGGGCGGCGGGGATTTGAAATTTTGCTTCGCTTCGTCGTAGTAGTAACGTTCACGTGAAAAGACTAAAAGTACCGTCGAATGATTGATCAGTGACTCGATCAGTATGGGACTGAACGTCAAGATTAACGTCGGTAATGCCAATGTCGTAATCGAGCGTATTGACTGTCATCGCACTCTCTCGTGTCGTTCGAAACGCGTCCCCGCGCGTGAACGCGACGTGAATCGTCGCGAATGCGAGTCGCCTCGTATATGTTTGTAGCTCACCTTGGTCGGCCGCGACTACGACGAGCGTCACGCAGACGAATATTTGAACGAGAGAAGCCCGTCGTGTCATGATGGAGCACCACGCGTAAACTTTAGCCGCCTGCGTCGGCGTTGTGTTATTTATACCTCCGTCCGGTCGGGGAGGGATGGATCCCGAGAAAATGGTCAAAGAAACGATAAGTGCCGACAGACGAAGAAGAGAGAGAGAGAGAGAGAGCGACGCAGCATGCACGCGGTAGATAAAGAAGCGTAGGTAATAGGAAAGAAGCGTGCTGTCCGCGCGAGAGGAGGGACGCGCGAACTAACGCGAAAGAGAGGGACATTGTCTAATCGTAAGAGGAAACGTGTGTGAAATGTGAGAAAAATGCAGAGAATATAAATACATGAATAGGAGAGAGAGAGAGAGAGAGAGAGAGAGAGAGAGAGAGAGAGAGAGAGAGAGAGAGAGAGAGAGAGAGAGAGAGAGAGAGAGAGAGAGAAAGAGAGAGAGAGAGAGATAGAGACAGGGAGAGAAGGTAGCGTGTTCTCTCCGTGCACCTAGCAACGAGAATAGAAGGCAATGAAAATAAATCGCGAGCAATAAGGAAGAGAGACTACTATGTACACGAGGAATACAAAGTTCACTACAATTCGCATGTTGCCTGAGCGGGGACGTGAGCATTACGTCAGTAATCCTTCAAATCGCTCTCTCTCTCTCTCTCGCTCTCTCGCTCTGTTTCGTAATTCACGCAACCTTCGAAATTCCCAAGATTCGCGTTGACGCAGTCTCGCGTGAAATTTTCCGATCGCGAGGCAACTCGAGCCAGCGCCAGTTACCGCGGTGTAATGCAACATGCATAATACCTCGTCCGTGAGGAATCAATTAACTGCGGCTGCCTTAATTATACAGCCCCATTGGCCGAGCCGCCCTACTCGAAATCGCTCAGCCGAGGGTGCTTTGCGACCGGAAGCTCGCTCAGGGCAAGAACGCGAAGGGTTACTGAAATAGCCGGCCGCGGCGAATCCCGCGCATAAATTACGCTACCATCTTTTCACGCAGAGCTTGATCGCGGCCCGGTTCTTCTTGATCCCTTTCGCCAGCAGTGGCAGTGACAGTCACGTGTTATCGTTATCTCGATCGTTAGCGGAGCCACGGCCGTTCGGAGAAGCGATTCGGAGAAGCATTTTCCATCTCGATAAAGCGCTTCGCCGAATGACGATAACCGCAGATCGGGATTTTCGCAAGCTCGTTAATTCGCAATTTTATTCGCCTCGCTGATCGCGCTCGATATCGCGCGTCGTCCATAAATCTCTCATGCGGTTGACGTTGTAACCGGTTAAGTCACTATGTTGAATCAATAATCCGCGTATTGCGCGACCGGTTCCTCGCGTGTGTGCTCAACACAAACACACACATACACACACACACACATATATATAGGAGCGCGCATCTCTCTCTCTCTCTCTCTCTCTCTCTCCCTCGTATGACGGAGTGTTTAAGCTCGTTGATAGTCACAAGAGGTAGTTCCCAAGGCTAACCACTTGATCGATATCATCTTCACGCGGAAAACGTGTGTGTATGTATGTTCATGTATACATACACACCGGTTATGTGAAATAATCTTTCTACGAGACATACATCCTAATGAACTCCGCTCATACAATGGCGACACGTCGTCACAAAGCGCGAACATTCAGGGCGATTTAATACGATTCCTCTCGAACCGCGTTGCAAGTTGAAGGCCACCGCAGTCGCCGCTTGGCCAAATAGGATTTTTATCGCACGGGAATTACTCGTGCGAGAGTGTCACGTCGCGATAATTGCTGCGATTCCGTACATATCCTTGCTGCCGCGTTACAGACCGTGCGCTCATTTATTGATAAATTTCGTCGTGCGTTAATATTATTTTACATTCATGCATTCGATTAATTTTTCGAGCGCCGCCGCGCGTATCGCCCGCGGGACGAGCTTTCGGATCCGTCGCGAATTTGCCGTTCGCGGACTATTTAAATGAAATTGCGCGGAAATAAATCCTCATGACGGAAAGGTGTGTGTGCGTATACACAACCGGGCGCACGCGTGTGTGTGTATTTTTTTCTCCTCTGTTTACAGCCTCTTGAAGCGCGCCGTTCCGCGGATCCGGACGATTGCGCGAAATTTATTTTTACTTCGATAATGATACAAATCAGGCGCATGGCTTAAGGAAGTGAATAATTTATCTCAATAGATTAAAGCGAAGTTTACGTGTCCAGTTACGCAACTTTCATAATTCATAAACGCGCTTACTTGAAAGCGTCGCAGCGCATTGCACGGCTTACCATCTAAACGGAACATTGCGATATCGCTTTATTATCATTTTGCCGAGCCGGCACGAGCAATGTTAACTCGGGTCGCGACCGTGATCTTCCTTGCTTCAAGATAGCAATTACTCGCGGCAGAAACCACATGAAGTCGTTTCAGCACGTCGATATAAATACGTTTTTTACGACGAAACGCTGCCACCGACATTTCCTTTTAAATAGCTTCTGCAATACACACGATTTATCCATTTTTAAATAAGTTTTTAAATATCTCCAATTCTTCTCCAACACTTCACCAACAAACAACCAAACTGCGCGCTGCGTGTCGAAATATATCGCGCTTTTCAAGTGAGACGTATTTGACCGATTCAATTCCATCGATAATGCGATTCTTTAGCGCGTGTCATTATCTCTTACCATTTGAACTATAAATGCTCGCGTTTATATATATCGCGTTTATATATAATCTCGAAAGTATCTCTCGATTGAATATCGAAATTGATATTCGTGAAATAAAATATCGCCAATTAACCGCGATTGGAGTTTGATCTTATCGATTATGTAGTCAAACATGGTGTAACGAAATTAAATTCCCGAAATATTACGCGTATTTTTTGAATTTTCACAGCATATGCATAATTTCATTTCATCTCATCGAAGATTGACGACTCACGCTCGAAGATACGAGTAGGGAGCGGAGAAAGGAATCTCGCGTCGTGGCTATCTCCTCCAAGTTCCTAAAACAAATCGAACCGTCCGTCCCTTCCTCCCTCGGAGCGCAAATTCGCTCGGAATCACGTCTCTCATAGGGTCGCTTCGCGCGCTAAACCGCCGGAAGGTGGTCGCGTTTCTCTTTCGGCACCGAGCGCTCGAGCGATTCTCCCGGGCGCTCGTCGATGGACGACGAGCTCTCTCCGAGATCGCAAATTAATTCCCCGTTGAACGCGTGACTCCGTCGCCGGAATGCCGCGTGTAAATCACCGGGCCGGGTGTAGAAGCGGAGCAGCTCATAACTGCTGGATTTACTACAGATTCTGGCCCGCCGCGCGAAGGAGTACGTACGTTACTCGTCGCCGAGCCGAATCTCCGCCATTTACACTCGGTTACAGCGGCTCGGCCGTCGATGTAAGTCGAATAACTTCTCCCGCTCGGCAATCTGATTTATCGTGTTCGGAGGGATTGGATCATTAGTCTTATCCCTGTAACTAATGACTCAATCTCGGTCGTCCCACTCACGACTGGATTTATCGAGCCGCTAGATCGGCAGCGGCGACACGCGCGAACGATCGGATCGAATATTTTCGCGTCTTCGCGGCTTTACGCGACACGGTGTAGGTGTAAGTTCCCGCGGAAATGCGAATCTGCAGCAAAAATCAGCGATAGTCTTATCGCGAGCGCATAGCTTACTGTCTCTCTCTCTCTCTCTCTCTCTCTCTCTCTCTCTCTCTCTCTCTCTCTCTCTCTCTCTCTCTCTCTCCTCCCCCTCTCCTCTCTCCCCCTCTCCTCCCTCCCCCTCTCTCTCCCTCCTCCCCCCTCTCTCCTCCCTCCCTCCCCTCCCCCTCCCTCCCCCCTCTCTCCCTCTCCCTCCCTCTCTCTCTCCTCTCCTCTCTCTCTCTCCTCTCTCTCTCTCTCTCTCTCCCTCTCTCTCTCTCTCTCTTTCGTTTTCGATTCCGCATAAACAGCGAATTAATAACGACGTCTCCTCTTCCTCGAGAGAACAGAGTGACAGATTTTTACTTGTCCGCTCCTTTCGAAGGCACACAGACCGCAAGAGACGATGAAATGACACCTCATTAACAAAGGTAGATAATTAGCCAACTTTCTCCCTCTGATTAAAATATGTGTTTACACGAAGCATCGCGCAAATCGCCGATCTTCAAATTTTTCATCGTGGGTGATCGTTTACGACAGTCGTTACGTAATCGGCGACGGTGAAAATGACGAAAAACAGCGGTTTTTGTAACCAATTAATCAGCCAGGTGGGATTGTATTATACATGAATTTGTGCGAACTTTCGAGTATAAACGATTCATATGGAGATGTTAGGAATGAAGTGAATTGGGTAATTCGCTGTCAGCTGGTCACGGCAACGTGGAAATAAAATATTTGTAACGTTTATTGATCCGAAGCGCAAAAGGTTACATCGCATTTGAGCGAATTGCGAACGAGGTTTAATATCGCGCGAACGCGCGTTGGTAGTTGCGCGACGGTAAAGCGAGTCGACTCTCTCCCTCTCTCTCCCTCTCTCTCTCTCTCTCTCTCTCTCTCTCTCTCTGTTATTTCGGCCCGCTCTTTGCGAACGCGACACAGCTGTAATTCGGTCTTTATTAACGCAAGGCGAGTCTCGAGTTTGTACGTTTATTAGTAATTCGACGCGTCCGACTCGGTATCTGCGAGATAATTAATTACCAGTTAAAGGGCGACATAATTTCTCCGTGTAACGTGATATCAGAGAAGAAGAGCTGAATATTAATTAAGGACAGATTAATTGGAAGTTTGAAAGACACCTCTCAATAGATTTGCTCCCCCCCTCTCCCTCCCTCTCTCTCTCTCTCTCTCTCTCTCGCGCGCGCGCGCGTGAACGCGCACGTACGACTGCCGACGCACGTCTGCTTTCTCAATGACGCGCAGTTATATTAATTAGATTTGAATCGCCTGTTAATAAAATATTCTTGGCTCTCGAATTTGTTTCAATTTTCCAACGTCTCGGTATTGCAAGAGTGAGGCTGACTGTCGCAGAACAAGATAACACGGCTGCAAAATGACACAGCGTAAGACCGCCTTGACCAATGAGCTTCTAGGAAGAAGTTCGAAGCTGTGTTGATTTACACAGAGCATAACTTTCTTCTAGATAAGCTCATTAGTTGAAATGCACATGCGACTATGTTACTTAGTCTCA